AACTCACTGGAGGGAGTGACACAAGTGACTGAGAACAAAAACCTGGGTACCAAACACATTAAGTAAAATAAATCAAAATGTAGACCTGGGGGTGACAAAACTTAGAAACTTGCCCTAAGGAGAAGAATCTGATAACCAGAAGTACAATGACCATAAGCAAAAGAAGAGACAAAGGCGCAATGAATTGCACTGAAGACTCCACTGCAAAGGAGCAAAAGCCTTTGCAAACCTCAGAGTTCAGTGAATAATACATCGAGCAAATGGGGAATACAGAATTCAGAATGCATAATAAAGCTTCTTACTAGCAATGAGAAGCACATGCAGGAGTTCAAGGAATTTAAGGACTACGACACGCAAGAAATAGCAATGCTAAAACCATAAGAAGCTAAAACATCAGAAATGATGGATGCAACAGGGCAAATTAAAAATTAAGTGGAACGTCTCAATAGAAGGAGGCAACAGGAAGAATCTTAGAATTGGAAGATATTTCTGTCACAATTTTGAAAGATTCAAAAGGCTACCGTTGGAGCTGGGTAAGGCTAAAAAAAGTACTCAAGAATTAATGGACACTATTAAAAGTCCAAATATTAGAGTCACGAGGGTTCCAGAAGGTACAGAAAGAGAAGCTGGGTTTAAAGATGAATTCAATGAAACAATAAATGAAAACTTCCCTAATCTGGAGAAAAAATTGGGAAACAACATCCAGGAGGGGCACAGAACTCCCAACAGTGTTGACCAAAAGAGATGTTTGCCATGACACATGATAATCAAGCTCTCTTCAATCGAACAAAAGGAAAAGATCCTTAAATGTGCACATGAAAAACATCAATTGGCCTATGCAGAAAGGGCAATCAGACTCACAGCTAACCTCTCACAAGAAACTCTACAAGCAAGAAGAGAATAGAGTGACATATTCCAGAGTCTAAAAGAAAAAAATTGTTGGCCCAAAATAACATACCAAGCAAAGCTTTCTTTTATCTTTGAAAAGGAAATAAAACTCTTCCACAGTAAAGGAAACCTAAAAGAATATACCTCTTCCAGACCTGCCCTACAAATGATACTTAAAGATGTTCTCTTGACAGAGAAGAGGATTAGCACCCATCAAAACCAAAGGCAAGGGCCCAGCGCCATGGCTTAGCAGATAAAGTCCTTGCTTTGCACGTGCCCGGATCCCATATGGGAGCCAGTTTTAATCGTGGCAGCCCTGCTTCTCATCCAGCTCCCTGCTTGTGGCCTAGGAAAGCAGTCGAGGATAGCCCAATGCCTTGGGATCCTGCATCCATGTGGGAGACCTGAAGGAATTTCCTGGCTCCTGGCTTTAGATCAGCACAGCACAGGCCGTGGTGGTCACTTGGGGAGTGAATCACTGGATGAAAGACCTTCCTCTCTGTCTTCCCTCCTCTGTATATCTAACTTTGCACTTCCACGGAAGGGCATAAAACTAGGACATCAGCTGGGGTGGAATGGGGTGTGGGACAGACTGGACCACTGCTACACATACTGGCAAACCAGGGTAGGGGGAAGGCCTGGTGAGGGTTATTGCAGGTCGCTCCAACTAGGCTGCAGCTTCCACTGGTTTATGTGAGGGTCAAGTATGTGCTGGGCAGAACCAGGTTGGACTGCAACACCCATTGATTTCAGTGGAAGTTGGGATTTGCAACCACCAGCTGATCAGGGCGATGGACTGTGCCAGGCCTTGTACTTGCTAGCACATACAAAAATCTGGTTTGAGAACGCCTCAGACAAAGTTTCTTTGGAAATCTCCCCAGTCAAAATGCTGGACTCAGAACTCCAACCAAGAAAAGAGAGAAGACAGAACAGGTCAACCAACCATCTCAGCTATGATGGACTATGTCAATCAGTGGATTCTTCAAGGACCTCATAGTGCTTGGAGTGGCCAGATTGGCAGTGATTCATAACTGTTGAAATATCAAAAGCACTTGAGCAAGAACCTCAGAACATACCCTTCATCCGGGACCTGGAGAAGGTGGGAAATTGGGTGGGCCTTCTCCCTTAATACCCCCCTTTAAACATGAAGGAAACAATATGGAAAAAATACTAGTCTTACCCACTTTCCTGTAGCACTTGAACCTTTTTACCCTAATTAACTATGTAAATCAAAGAAAAATATTACAAAAAAAAAGAAAATAAATAAATAAATAAATAAATCCAAAGAGAAAAAAAAAACAAATGCAAATGCAAAGAACATCGCAGTAAAATAACAACAGAAGAGTAAATCAATGAACAACCCATTGCTAAAATGACAGGACCAAACTACCACCCATTCATATTAACCCTGAATGTAAATGGCTTAAACTTATCAATCAAACATCATAGATTAGTAGACTGGATCAAAAAACAAAACCCATCTTTCTATTACCTAAATGAGACACATCTCACCAACAAACATCAGTAGAAACTATATCTCATGGATTGTGATGCTTTGGTTTTTATTTTTTGTTTCTTGAAAACGCTTTTTTTTCTCATATTAAATTCTTCAATGACTCAGATCATACAGGAGCATCATTTTCTGCAAGAAGGTTCCTGCTTTTCTTTTTCATTTCTTCAACAACACATTAGTCATTCAGCAGCATGTTACTTAACTTCATGGTATTGTAAATTTCTAATTTTCTTCCTGTTGTTGATCTTGTTTTGTAGCTTTTCATTTAAGGGGATGCACAGTAACTGTGTAATGGAGACTGTCACATCCAGATGTGAGGATACAATGCAGTATGCATCTCTCCTTCCAGATCAAAGATGGACTCCCCATGAAACTGTTAAGTATATCTTGACAACAGGATGCTGGACACTCTGGACACTCACACCCACAATGATGGACTGATGACTCTTTATGAAGGACTATACCATTGTAATGTAGCAGAAATCAGTGTGTTGGGGGAGGGGATTTGGGAAGAAACGAAAATCCAAGAGCCTACAGAATTGTATCATAAACTAATACTCATTTCTAAACTGGGGAAAAATCAAATTAAATGGTTCCAAGTCCTTGAGAAACCACACAATGATGTCCATGAAAACCTTACCAAGTCTTCTGAATTGCTATGGCCCCAGGGAAGGTTCTTTTGTACCAAACCAGGATGCAATAATCAAAACAATTTCATACCATATTTTGGCATCATACAATGCCAAATGGAATATATTTATCTGTGAGAAAATGACTCAGTTTCTATATACTTTATAAAATCTCACCAAACACAGGACTTTTCTTTTTTAAAAAAAAAATAAAGGGGCAGGTGCTGGTTCAGTGGCGTAACAAGCTAATCCTCCACCTGTGGTGCCAGCATCCCATAATGACACGAGTTTGAGCCCCTGCTACTCCACTTCTGATCATGCTGATGGCCTAGCCAATTAGCAGGGGATGGCCCACGACCATGGGTCCCTATATCCACGTGGAAGATCTGGAAAAAGCTCCTGACTTCTAGCTCGAAATCAGCCCAGTTCTGGTCATTGTGAAGATTTGCGGAATGAAGCAACAGACAGAAGATCTCTGTCTCTCCCCCTCTCTCTGTAACTGTGCATTCAAGCAAAATAAAGATTTTTTTTAAAGACTTATTTATTGTATTTGGCAGGCAGATTTACTTGAGAGGAGAGACAGAGAGATCTTAAATCCACTGGTTTATTCCCCAAATGGCTGCAATGGCTACAGCTGAGCCAATCAGAAGTCAGGAGCTTCTATCAGGTCTCTCTCACACATGTGCAGGATCCCAAGCACTAGGATCATGCTTTGCTGTTTCCACAGGCCAGAAGCAGAGAGCTGGACAGGAAGCGGAGCAGCCAGGACACAGACTGGCACCATTATGGGATGTCACCACCACAGAGTGGAGGATTAGTTGAGTCATGGTGCAAACACCAAAATAAATAAATCTTTAAAAATATATCAATATCAAAGGCCCAGCACAGTAGCCTAGTGGCTAAAGTCCTCGCCTTGCATGGGCCGGGATCTCCTAAGGGTGCCCCTGTAGCCCCGTTTCCCCTTCCAGCTTCCTGGTTGTAGCCTGGGAAAGTAGTCGAAAACAGCCCAAAGTCTTAGCACCCTGCACCGTTGTGGGAGACCTGGAAGAAGCTCCTGGCTGCTAATTTAGGATCAGCTCAGCTCAGGCCGTTGTGGGGGCTTGGAGAGTGAACCAGCAGACAGATCTTTCTGTATATCTGCCTTTCCAATAAAAATAAGTGAATTTTTTTTGGAAAAAAAAAAATAATAATAACAAGGCCCAGTGTGGTAGCTAGTGGGGCTAAAGTCCCTGCCTTGTACACCCAGGATCTCATATGGGTGCTGGTTCACAGCCTGGCTGCTCCACTTCCCTTTCCGTAAAAGCAGCAAAAGATAAGCCAAGTTCCTGGGCACCTGTCATCCAGGCTCCTGGCTTCAGACCCATCCAGTTCTGAGAAGTAGATGGAAAATCTCGGTAGGCTGAGCCGCTGTTTGTAGCACCAGCATCCCCCGTGGGCACCAGTTTGTGTCCCAGTTACTGCACTTTCCACTAGGATCCTTGCTTATGGTCTGGGAGAGCAGCAGACTTAACTCAAGTTCTTGGGCCCCTGCACCCACGATGGAAACCTAGAAGACACTCCTGGCTCCTGATTTCTTGCTTCAGATCAGCCCAGCTCCAGCCAGTGTGGCCATCTGGGGAATAAGCCAACAGACAGTGATCTGTATGACAGAGAGAGAGTATGTGTGAGGCCCGGAAGAGGCTCCTGGCTCCTGGTTTCAGATTGGCTCAACCCCGACCGTTGTGGCCACTTGGGGAGTGAACCAGCACACAGAAAATCTTCCTCTCTGTCTCTCCTCCTCTTTGTATATCTGAATTTCAAATAAAAATAAATAAATCTTAAAAAAAATTTTTTTGGGACACATAACCCAAATAACCCACAAAAGCATATTAGAATCAAAATTGCAATAAAATTCTATATTAACAATTCTGTATATAATTAACACAGTCCATTTCTCTGTTGTAATAGGAAACACTATCTACTGGACTTACTTTTGTATAACATTTTGCAAGCTCAACATCATACCCAATTCTCCTTTCATCTTCTCTCTGTTCGCGCGGCATTCTGCCAAGTATCGCAGAGCCTACAGCAAGAAAATCAATACATTAATTTACATGTCCACAGTGCTAAATTTACTTATTGAAAAAGAAAAAATAAGAAAAATCAAGTTTTTGTCTTTTCTAAAAGATTTCCAATAATTTTGAAGTTTGGCCACCTCTCCTTTTAACAAACTATTCAGCTCGTTTTAACAAGATATTCAGTGGCCGCTAGTATCCATACAGGCACCAGTTACAGCTTCCGATCCAACTCCCTGGAAGAGTAGTGAAAGACAGTTCAAGAACCTGGATCCCAGCCACTCGCGTGAGGTGGAAGTTGCTGCATCCTCCCTTTCACTACTGCGGCTACTTGAGGAATGAATCAGTAGATAATTTTTCTGTCACTATGCCTTTCAAGCAATAGCAAAAACCAGAACAAAACAGAAGGATCCATTTGAAAGGCATTTTAACAGAGAAAGCGAGAGAGCTTGCATCTTCTGTTCATTAGCCCAAACGGCCTCAGAAGCCCAGAACTACATCCTGCTCTCCCCATGGGTGGTCAGGGCCCAATGACTTGAGCCATCCTCTGGCGCTTTCCCAGGTACAGCAGCAGGTAGCTGGCTACAGGCAAATAGCTGGGACTCAAACCAGCACTTGCTGTAACAACACTTGGAGCTGTTAAACGTACATGTTTATCGGGCCAGCATTGTGGAACAGTGAGTAAAGCTGCCACTTGCAATGCTGGCATCCCAATGGGCACTAGTTTAAGTCCTGACTGCTCTGCTTCTGATCCAGCTCCCTGCTAATGTGCCTGGGAAAGCTGTGAAAGATGACCTTTGTAGTACTTGGGCCCCTGCACCCACACGGAAGACCTGGAAAAAACTCCCAACTCCTGCTTTAGGATGGGCCTGGCTCCAGCAGCTACAGCGATTTGAGTAGTGCACCAGCAGATGAAAGATCACTTCCTCTTTCTCTGTAACGGAGTTTAAAATAAATACATATATATATATATATATATATATATTATTTTAAAGTATATGTTTAGGGTCCAGCACAGGAGCCTAGTGGCTAAAGTCCTCGCCTTGAACATGCCAGGATCGCATATGCTGGTTCTAATCCCAGTGGCCCCACTTCCCATCCAGCTCCCTGCTTGTGGCCTGGGAAAGCAGTTGAGGGTGGCCCAAAGCCTTGGGACCCTGCACCCATTTGGGAGACCCAGATGAAGCTCCTGGCTCCTGGTTTCAGATCGGCTCAGCTCCAGCTGTTGCTGCCACTTGGGGAGTGAATTATTAGACAGAAGATCTTTTGCTCTATATATCTAACTTTCCAATAAAAATAAATAAACTCTTTTTAAAAAGCACATGTTTACTATTTTTTAAAGATTTATTTAGTTTTATTGCACAGTCAGATATACAGAGAGGAGGAGAGATAAAGATCTTCTGTCCAATGATTCATTCCCCAAGTGGCCCCAATGGCTGGAGCTAAGCCCATCCAAAGCCAGGAGCCTGGAACTTCATCTGGGTCTCCCACGCAGGTGCAGCAACCCAAGGCTTTGGGCCGTCCTTCACTGCTTTCCCAGGCCACAAGCAGGGAGCTGGATGGGAAATGGAGCTGCCAGGATTAGAGCTGGCACCCATATGGGATCCCGACACATTCAAGGTGAGGACTTTAGCCACTAGGCCATCATGCCAAGTCCCATGTTTACTATTTCTTTCACATGTTCTTATGTAGAGACCTCATTTGGCTCCCCACACTCTACACCTAAATATTACTATCTTTAACAGACCTCCCAAACACTTATCATTCACTGAAGATCTTGTACCGCTGAGGATTCTATAACCCAAAATTCTGCCATTTCAGCTCACTGACCTTTCACATTTACCAGTCCTTTACTTTCCATTTGTAAAGTGTCTAGTTATAACTGAAAACATGCCATGGAGGGCACAGTGTTCACGAAGTGGTGCCTCAATGCCATACTCCTAACTATGGCTCCTGACTCCAGCTTATCGCTGCCACACACCCTGGGAGGCAGAGGTGACAATCCGAGCAACGGGATTCCTGTCAACCAATGGCAGAACTGGACTGTGTACCTGGCTCCAGCTTTGGATCTGACCTAGATGCAGTCACTTGCAGGCAACAACAGAAGGAACAAGCTCACTCGCTCGCTCCTGGCTTCCTCAATCTCTCTCAAAGAAAAAAAGAAAGAAAGAAAGAAGCAAAGGAGGAAAGAAACAAAGAAACAAAGAAAGAAAATGTGCCGTCTTATATCTTCTTTCAACAACTACTCCCAGTATGATATCTACTACAGCCCATAAACAATGAAGTGCTGGACCCAGCGCAGTAGTCTAGCGGCTAAAGTCCTTGCCTTGAATATGCCAGGATCCCATACAGGAGCTGGATAATCCCAGCAGCTCTGCTTCCCATCCAGCACACACAAAAAAGTCTGCATCAAGCAGGTCATAAACATATGTTGAAAAACACTACTAAAAGTCTCAGAAAGAAGACTCAGCATGGTGGCCTAGCAGCTAAAGTCCTCGTCTTGAACACGTCCATTGGGCACAAGTTCTAATCCCGGATGCCCCGCTCGCTTCCCATCCAGCTCCCTGCTTGTGGCCTGGGAAAGCAGTAGAGGATGATCCAAGGCCTTGGACCCTGCACCTGTGAGGGAGATCTGAAGAAGTTCCTGGTTCCTGGCTTCAGATATGCTCAGCTCCAGCCATTGTGACCATTTGGGGAGAAAAACAGCAGATGGGAGATCTTTCTATCTCTCCTTCTCTCTGTAAATCTGTCTTTCCAGTAAAAAAAAAAAAAAGTAAAATTAAGTAAAGTAAAAGTAAAATAACATAATTTCAAACAAGGTGAATTAAAAAGTTTCAGAACAGGACAGGAACAGTAATCTAGTGGCTAAAGTCCTCGCCTTGCATGTGCAAGGATCCCATTTGGGTGCCGGTTCTAATCGCAGCTGCTCGACTTCCCTTCCTGCTCCCTGAAAATCTTGTACCACTGGGCCTGGGAAAGCAGTTGAGGATAGCCCAAAGCCTGGGGACCCTGCACCCATGTGGGAGAACCGGAAGAGTCTCTTGCCTTCTCCAAAATAAAAAAAAAAAGCATTAGAGAGGAACAAAGATAAAAATTTTCTCATTTTTCTCATTAAAAATTATACAAGTCTGAAGACTGTGTAGCAGTATCTTTAAAAGTACTGGAGGAAAGTATCATTGCTTTATAAGAAATGTCAAAGTTTTTCAGGCAAGGAAAAAACTGTATCAACACAAATCTATATTTATGGACCCGGCAGCAAGGCCTAGCAGCTAAAGTCCTCACCTTGAATGCGCAGGGATCCCATACGGGCGCCGGTTCTAATCCCAGCAGCTCCACTTCCCATCCAGCTCCCTGCTTGTGGCCTGGGAAAGTAGTTGAGGACAGCCCATAGCCTTGGGGCCCTGCACCACTGTGGGATAGTTCCTGGCTCCTGGCTTCGGATCGGCATAGCACCGGCCGTTATGCTCACTTGGGGAGTGAATCATCGAACAGAAAATCTTCCTCTCTGTCTCTCCTCCTCTCTGTATATCTGACTTTCCAATAAATAAATAGATATTTTTTTTAAAAGTCTATATTTATATAACGGGACCAAAAAAACACCAGAAATATGAGACTATGTATATAAGACATAAAAATTTTTTAATCTTTTTAAAAGATAATTATTTTAGCTAAAAACTGCACCATAGATGTTTAAATACACATAGATGCAAAATGAATGATTTTTTTTTATGTTGTTATCTCTTTTTTTTTTCTTTATTGCTTACATTGCATTATGAGACATAGTTCTATAGGTACTGGGATTCCCCCGTACCCCTCCCCTAACCCTCCCGAAGCAAAATGAATGATAAAAATAGCACAAAGGATGGAGGGAAAACGGAAGCACACCGATACATAGCACATGCAGTGCACAACTGGTTTAAAAAGTAGGTTGTCAAAAGTTAAAAACATGCATTATAAAACCTGCTGCAACCACTAAATAAGTTAAAACAAAAGGGCGCACTAGCAATAAGACTACAGTGATAATAAAGCAAACTACAAAACCACCATCCCTGACATGCCTCACTGAAAGATTCATGCCTTGGGAATCCTGTACTATCTGGCAGCTCCAGCCCTCCGTGACTCACCTGCCCTTCCCATTCAGCCTAGCATTTAATCTATTATTTCAGCCCCTCTTGCTAAGCACCTTGCGTAAGAGATCAGCCCGACTTACAGGGCTAAGTATCATTGCTGGACAGATCAGCAGGACTGATGGGGTAGAAGAGGATCAGTATTACACCAACTCAGTATTGCCAAACTAGTAAGTCCCTCTTTTACTTACCATTTTTTTCAGTCAGCAGCCTTTCTTATTTTCTATACTCACAATAGCCTTTTCAAACTTCTCTTGCTGCAAGTCTTGCCTTCTGAACTCAGATATATTCAAATCTAATCTATTAAAAAGATTTGTGGAGCTGGCACTATGGTTCAACAGGTTAATCCTGCACCTTCAAGCACAGGCATCACTTAAGCGCGCCAATTCATGTCATGGCTGCTCCACTTCCAATCCAGCTCCCTGATTATGGACTTGGGAAGCAGAGGAGAATGGACCAAGTCCTTTGGATCCTGCACCCACCTGGGAGACCTGGAGAAGAGTCCTGGCTCTTGGCTTTGGATAAGCTCAGCTCTGGCCATTATAGCCATTTGGGAAGTAAACCAGCAGATGGAAGATCTCTGTCTTTTCTTATCTGTTTTAATTCTCCCTTTCCAATAAAAACAAATCTTTAAAAAAATTAAAAAAAAAAAAAGACTTCCTTCATGCTAACTAAAGACCAACACACTCCTTCTCATCCTTATTGCATTTCTTACTGAAGCAGGAGCCAAGTAGGAGTCAATCAATTTTTACTACTGTTCGTATCTTAGAGCAGTGTGTTTTTCCTGTTAAGCTCCACTCTGTGAAGGTAAAATACAAAATTCACAACATACAGTTTAATTTTCTAAAAAGCAAAGCAATGTATTTTTTGTGTGTGAGCAAATCCGTGCTATTACCAATTGGGGAAATTTACCCTGAGTCCTTAAGTAAAGGACAGTGAATAAAACTTTTAATACACTAATTTTCTTTTATATTATTTATATGATAAAATGTTTAGATCACAGTGATATGATTCCCAGACTCTGACTCAGTTTCAATAATTATCTAGATTCACCCATCTCTCCTGTCCAGAATTACATGATAGTATTTTATTGTAAGTCTCAGAGAAGACTTTCATTTGTAAATATTAGTATATCCTAAAAACCTCATTATTTAAAAATAAGTACAATGACAATAGTATTTTAATATAATGTAAAAATAATGATTCTTCAATATCATCTATTGATTGATCTATATTTATTTCATTCTTTAAGAAATATTTATGGCTAACTTATTTAAATCAGGCTTACATATGACATGACACAAAAGCCTTCTGATCTACACAGTCACGACAACCCTGCTCCACTCCAATTCCCTTTCTTTTTCACTGATACTGTTTTAGGAAATGAGGCCTAATCACCTGTGTTGTTCTTAGATACATTTCTCCAGCTCCCATGTAACAAAATAGCTTCTTCTGCATCACCAGCTAAGATCCTACATATTTTCCCCTTTGCCTTTTTTTTAAAAGATTTATTTTTTTATTGGATAGTCAGACACACAGAGGAGGAGAGACAGACAGGAAGATCTTCCATCACTGATTCACTCCCCCCGCAGCTGCAATGGCCAGAGCTGAGCCAATCTGAAGCCAGGAGTCAGGAGCTTCTTCCAGGCCTCCCACAGGGTGCAGGGTCCCAAGGCTTTGGCGCCGTCCTCAACTGCTTTCCCAGGCCACATGCAGGGAGCTGGATGGGAAGCGAGCGGGACTGCTGGGATTAAAACCAGTGCCCATATGGGATCCTGGCACACGCAAGGCGAGGACTTTAGCCACCAGGCTACCGTGCTGGGCCTCCCTTTACCTATCTCCTTACCTTCTCTTTTTACCTTGTATAGAAGATGCACCGTGTCAACTAACGAATGGGCAAACACTATGTGGTATATCACAATGGACATGCCACATATAACCCCAAAACAAATAGTGAAATATGTCATAGTAAGGAAATATGTCATATATTTATATTTATATCGAGAGACACGTTGCAATAACAATAAATAAATCTTTTTTAAAAAATGAAGAAAAAAAGGAAGAAAGCAAAACAACAAACCATGTACATTTGTGAAAATGGCGACACACACATGTTTGTGCATAAAGAAACACAGACAAGACTGGCAGCAATTTATCACTGTTGAACTGTCAAAAACCACTCGAGCAAGACCCTCGGATCATGCCCCACCTGGGGGACCTGGGATGGGTGGGAGGCTGAGTGGGGCTTCTCCCTTTATCTTCACCTACCCCAGATACAGAAAAAAAGAGAATGTGGAAATAACAGTCTTACCCACTTTCCTGTAGCCCTTGAACCTTTGTGCCCTAATTAGCCATGTAAAGATTGTCAAAAAAAAAAAGGGAGGTGGGGTGGGAATCCAGTTTTCTAAACTTGGTGAGAGTGTCACAGACCTGAGACTCCATCAGCTGCAGAATTATAGGGGGAAAAAAAAGAGAGAGAGAGAAAAAAAGACATACAGGCCTGGGGCCAGTGTTGTGGTGTAGAAGTTAAAGGTGCTGGTGGCACTAATATCCCATATGGATGCCAGTTCAAGTCCCAGATGCTCCACCTCCGATCCAGCTTCCTGCTAATGGCATCTGGGAAAGCAGCAGAGGACGCCCCATCTTCCTTTATCCACACCGAAGACCCTGGACCAGCAGAGCTCCAGCAGCTGAAGCCACTCAGGAGCGAAGCAGGGGACAGAAGAGCTCCCCTCGCTCTCTTTACTCTGCCTTTCAAATACATACGTATATCTTAAAGATAAGAAAGACAGGAAGAGTCCTCCTTGGCATTGTAGAGGACTGGCTCCCGGGCTCCCTCCCATACATACATTAAACTCCACAACGCTCAAATTCCTTACAAAAAATGGCACAGTACTGACATATAACTCACACACACCTTCTTGCATACTTTAAACCATCTGCAGGTCATTTAGAATACAATGTAAATGCTATGTGAACTGCTGCTGTACTGTAAAAAGGTTGTACATGAAAGTAGAAATGGGTTTCTTTCAATCCTTCAGTTAGTTGAATGAAAGAATGCAGAAGCCATGGGGGAATATTTGTACAGAAATTACTCTGTATCCTCTTCTTAATGTTTACAATGTCATCTAACACCTTTTTCAAAATTTTACAACTTTGCGAAGAGTAAAACATTGGGAGGGAAGTTATTAACACCAACTCACGAGCAAAGCTGAGTGGACGACAGAGGGGTTAGGATGGTCCATAAACAGGATCAGGCCAGGCAGACATCCCTGGTCCTGGACGATAGCTCTTCTGTTCAGCGGATCTGCTGCCAAATCCCGCAGCTGGTTGACTACTGACAGAGCATCCGGTTCTTCGTTCATGGTAGAGGAAGAGGAATTCATCTTCTATGCCATGCACATGAAGAAAATCTCAGATTCTGTAGAAAAGGTTCACAAATTAGTTCTAGGCTGCTAAGGTATAATATGGCATCTGGTAAATAACCAGGATTACAGCATCGTTTGAAAGAAACAGATGGGGCCCGGCATGGTAGCATAGTGGTTAAAGTCCTCGCCTTGCACGCAGAGATCCCCACATAGGTACTGGTTCTAGTACCGTTCTAGGGCCAGCGGCCCTGCTTCCCATCCAGCTCCCTGCTTGTGGCCTGTGAAAGCAGTTGGGGATGACCCAAAGCCTTGGGACCCTGCACCCGCATGGGAGACCCCGAGGAGCTCCTGGCTCCTGGCTTCAGATTGGCTCAGCTCCAGCCATTGCAGTCACTTGGGGAGTGAACCATCGGACAGATGATCTTCCTCTCTGTCTCTCCTCCTCTCTGTATGTCCGTCTTTCCAATAAAAATAAATAAATCTTTTTAAAAAAAAAAACAAAAAAGAGAAGAAACAGATGAATCCAAGTCACACAAAAACGTAAGAACTGCCAACTCCACAGTTTGAGAAAAGTTAAATGAACACAAGACGCTGACTGAAGAAATCAAGCTATTTATGTGTGCACAGTGTTTAAAGAACATATGTCGTGCTCAATATTCCAATAAACTCTCTTTTAGCAACACATATTTTAACACTAAAGTCACAATAAACAAGATCTTTATAGTTCAAGCTTGTAACCTTCGATCTGCTTCCTTTCCTCTAGAGCACTTCTGGCCCTAAGACAAGAGCCTGGAGTGGTGGTGGGGGGGGGAGGCGGGATGAGTGGCTTGCTGGCAGCCTTTCCCCAACCCTATTCATCTATGAACAAAAACAGCTTACTGGGTCTTGAAAAGATAAAATCCTTTAGAAAAAAAAAAAGGAAGAATGCAAGAATGTTGAACCTAGAATCCACCAAGGGTACCCTGCTTCTGCTCAGGCTAGCCACGCCTAGGAGACCGCATCAAGTCTGAACCGCAGAGATCTGTCCACCTCTGCGCGTGCCATCTTCTGCCACCTATTAGGAAAGCAAGAATAGCAGCAGTCTCCAAGAAGTTACATAACACCACCCAGGTCACAAAATCTAATTAGTGCAGTACTGGGCTGAAATCTCACTAATTCCTAAAATGGTGAGCTTTCCACTAAGCATACAGATCCTGTAAAGTCAACATATCCTTTTCCACACAAATTACGTGTTTTAGAAAAGCTACCATGCAAGACTTAATAAAGCCAAAGAAACAAAATTCCAAGGGATGATCTGGATATTTTCAAGGGATAATCTTCACACATACAGAAAATAAAAAATTAACTTCAATTAATCACAATGCATAGCATAATTCCTTATCCGAACTACACAGCTTTGAGCTTTCAGTAACAATGTCAACTGTGAAGGTAACAGGATCAAGATGACTCCTTACATTCAATGGGATGACTACAAAGTTACTTTGAGGAGAAAAAGCAAAAAAGCAGAACTGGCCTCACTTTGCAGTGAAACCTGCAAAGCTTTCAGCATAAAGTAATGGTCCTGGGGAGGGGAGCAGGAGACACAGATCAGAGGGGCTCAGTGTTGGGATTTTGCCAGATATCTGAATATTTGCATTTATAAATCGAGATATTGGGGATCTAAGTCTAAAAAAGAAATCCATGGCCTTTCCCTGTGCACCTTATATACAAACCCTGCAGGTAATTTTGCACATTTTTTTAAAATAAATCTTTTATTTAAAAGACTTATTTAATTGGAAAGTCAGACATACAGGGAGGAGGAGAGATAGAGAGGAAGATCCTTCCTCCGCTGATTCACTCCCCCACACACACACCCCCACCACCAAGTGGCTGCATTGGCTGGAGTTGAGCTGATCTGAGCTGATCTAAAGCCAGGAGCCAGGATCCTCTGCTGGGTCTCCCACACGGGTGCAGGGTCCCAGGGCTTTGGGCCATCCTTGACTGCTTTCCCAGGCCACAAGCAGAGAGCTGGATGGGAAGTGGGACCGCCAGGATTAGAACCAGCGCCCTTATGGGATTCTGGCATATGCAAGGTGAGGACTTTAGCCACTAGGTTACCACGCAGGGTCCTTCCCTTGCACAATGTTTTTAATCATTTTGGTGCATAAAACAAAATTTCATGTTGTATGATTTCCAACAACTCAAAAAGTCTTAGATTCTGGAGCGTTTCACATTTCAGGTGAGGCATGCTCAGCCTGTACTTCTCCCATGACAATTACCAACGCAGTCAATGTAAGAAAGGGGGCTGCCATGTGACTTACACCCAGACTCCATCACTTGGTATCCTTTGGGATTTGAGGCAAAGTCCTTAAACAGTCTCTTCACCAGGAAAATCAGATTATGACAGCTACCAAATAGCTTACTGCACAGATGAAATGATAACACACAAAAAAGGCTTAGACTAGACCTAGCACATGGTAAACAGTAATTGACAGAATTGAGTTACAGTATCAGAAATCCATGAAAACCAGTAAGATAACTCAAAACTGTATTAGATATAAGTCAGCAATTTAAAAACCACTAAGTTTGGGCCTGGCATGGTAGCCTAGCAGCTAAAGTCCTTGCCTTGCATAAGTCGGGATCCTATATGGGCGCTGGTTCTAATCCCGGCAGCCTCGTTTCCCATCCAGCTCCCTGCCTGTGGCCTGGGAAAGTATTAGAGAGCGGCCCCAAAGCCTTGGGATCCGCATAGGAGACCGGGAAGAGCTCCTGGCTCCTGGCTTTGGATTGGCTCAGCCCAGATCACTGTGGCTACTTGGGGAGTGAATCAGCAGATGGAAGATCTTTCTGTCTGTCTCTCCTCCTTTCTATGTATGCCTTTCCAATAAAAATAAATAAATCTAAAAAAAAAAAAAACCACACTAAGGTTCTTTAACTCAAACAACATGGTAAATATAAATATATATACACACAAAGAATATATATCTTTTTCAAATGAAAAATATTAATGTATTTCAGAAATCTCCAAGAAAATACCAAAGGAAAGGTTCCCAGAAAGAGGGCTTTGATAAGACAGTATTGCTAGATAATCTTCTCAAAGTATTACAGCTTTGATAGTAATTTTTAAGGTCAGTATAAAAAGTAAACACAAAAGGAGTTGCCATTTGGCACAACAATCAAGACACCACTTGAGACGCCCACATGTCACACCGTACTGCTTCTATTCTGTTTCCTGTTACTGTGTTCCAGGAGGCAGGAAGAGATGGCTTAAGTACTTGGGTCCCATCCACTACCCAAGACCCACACCAAGTCCCAGACTCCTGGCTTCAGCCTGGCACAGCCTTAGCTATTGAAGCTATTTGGAAAGTGACCAACAGATGGAAGGTCTCTCTCTGTTTCACAAAGAAATTAATCTTTAAAGAAAAAATCAATAAAAAGAAACAAAGCAAAAGCGACAGAAAGAACACCCACAGACTACGAGGTCTAACTCCATGTTGCCTCTCGGCTGCCTCTATTAATCAGCATGTTGAAGAGCACGGTTTACAAACCTCATACCCACAAGATTTCCAGGCGTCAGCAGCACAGCAAATCCTATCCAAATGGACCCCGCAGAACTAATTACCAGCTTAAAGTCAACTATCAGAGTTGGGCATTTGGGATAGTGGTTAAAATGATGCATCCTGGATCAGAATGCCCGAGTTCAAGTTGTGGTTGACATCTTGGCTCTACTCCTGATGCTAGCCTTCTGCTAAGACACACCAGCAGGTGGACACAGCAGGTGATGGCTGAAGCAGCTGGATCCACGCCATCCGTGTGAGACCCAGAGGGTTCTTCCCAGTACCTAGCTTCATGCCAGCCTTACTGCAGCTGCTGTGGGCATTTGGGGACTAAACCAACAGAAAAGACAACTCTCTGCCTTCCCAAATATAAACAAATATGCTCACTGATGGCCTTTTCTAGAACACTACCTTGGATGGGAATGTTTTGTTGTCTAAATAATACGTAGACCTTGAAAAGGTAAAACTTTCTTTTTCCTTTGAGATAAACAAAAGTCAAAACAGTTAAAGCTACCAATCCTCAAAGCCTACTAAAGACAGGGCTCAAATCAGGATTTACCTAGAAAAATGTCCACAATACCAGGAGACACCAAAAACCTGAGCTGACACAGCAGGCAGACCTGGAGTCAAGGGGCACGCTTCCAATGACTGTTAAAGAAGCCTGGGACCCTGCAGCTACATGTGAGACCCAGAAGAAGCTCCTGGTTCCTGGCTTCAGATGTGCTAGGTTTCAACTATTGTAGCCATGTGGGGAGTGAACCAGGGGATGGAAGATCTTTCTGTTTCTCCTTCTCTCTATAAACTTGCCTTTCCAATGCAGTATGTGTGTGTGCGTGTGTGTGTGTGTGTGTGTGCGCGTGTGTGTGTCTTTAAAAAAATTATTCACTCCCCAAATACCAATAACAACTAGAGCTGAGCTGATCTGAAGCCACAAGCTTTTTCTGGGTCTCCCAAATGGGCACAGGCTCCCAAGTCTTTGGGCCATCCTCTGCTACTTTCCCAGGCCATGAGCAGGAAGCTAGATGGGAAGTAGAGCAGCTGGGATATGAACTGGTACCCACAGCAGATCCAAGAATTGCAAGGGGAAGATCAGTCAAAGGAGCCATCATACCAGGTTCCCAAAATAAACAAATATATTTCAAAAAAAAATCAAGTTATTTCTGAAACAAATAAGAACCACTAAAGTTCACCTCCATCTAGAAAAGTATGACTCTTAAAAAATCACAATGAACATCTATGTTTAACCCTTAATGCCTGAACTAGAACTATAAAAATTTCTCTAATTACTGAACAACACAAGATTATGTGAATTTGAGACTGGCTTTCAATTTTTTATTACCAGACAGCCAAAATAATAAACTGGAAAAACCACGAGCAAACACAACCCCTTCCTTCCAAAGAAAACTGATCAGAAAATTTTGATTAATGAAGCAAAACTGTGGGGAGCAGGGGCAAGTTCAGGACAGAATCAGGCTGTACCCAGACTATGTATAAGTAAACACAAGGTTTGTGAAACTTTAACATGCCTTTTGTGTCAGCCTGCCTCTTATTTTTAAGACTAATACATGATGTCTCACAAAAGTTTTCAACTACTGTATTCTTGTGTACTTTAAAATTTTGAATCCCAGCGTGATAGCCTAGTGGCTAAAGTCCTTGCCTTGCATAAGCCGGGATCCCATATGGGTGCCAGTTCTAATCCCAGTTGCTCTGCTTCCCATCCAGCTCCCTGCTTGTGGCCTGGGAAAGCAGTTGAGGATGACCCAAAGCCTTGGGACCCTGAATCCACATGGGAGACCCAGAAGAAGCTCCTTGCTCCTGGCTTCAGATCAGCTCAGCTCAGGCTATTGCGGCCACTTGGTGAGTGAACCAACAAATGGAAGATCTTTCTCTGTGTATCTCTTCTCTCTGTAAATGCCTTTCCAATGAAAAGAAATAAATCTTAAAAAAAAAAAAAAATGATTTTAGACAGCTGGAGCCAGAGCCCTGGGATAGCAACTTAAGCTTCCATCTACAGTGCCATAAGCGGCAATGATTGGAGTCTTGGCTGCTCTACTTGCTACCCAGTTCCCTGCTGATCGCAGGGAAAGCAGTGGAAGATGGCCCAAGTCATGGGGCGACATGGAGAAAGCTCCTGGCTCCAGACCAGCTCAGTACCAGTTACTGTAGTCATTTGGGGAGTGAACCAGCAGATAGAAGAACTCTTTCACTCCGTTCTCCTTCTCCCTATAAATCTGCCTTTCCAATAAAAATAAATACTTAAAAAAAAAGATTTCTGACAGATAAGCAAAAAATTTGTCACTACTGGTGTATTTTAAACTTATGGTAACTTGCTGCTCACTTGGCAGCACATATGCTAAAACTATGCAAATGATGCAGTTTGGCAGCGGGTGGAAATGGACCCTGTCTCTCCCCATTGTAGTCTTACTGGAACACATGCACATGGATATATTGCAGCTCATTATCTTCTCTTCCTTGTTAAATCTGGACTATTAAATCATCCTAAAGCCATGAATGCTCACTCCTACACCTATGAACCCCCTGAGCACCTCCAGGCCCTTGGCCAACACGCCCACACCGCACGTCGGAGCCCCTGGGTTCTGACCCATCTCCTGACTCCAGCTTCCCATTACACACAGACGCTCAGAGTCAGGTCTGCCCACACTGTGTTCCTGCGTGCTGCAGTTACCTCACAGACAGGAACCCTCGCTCTCCACTTCTGTCTCTTGTTTTGCTTTGTTTTGTTTTACCATAAGAAGTAAATTCTGAGTCCGTGGCAGACATGGGACCTGGGATTCTGCTTTATGTCCAACGGGGCTCCCGTGAGGTCTGTGGCAGCCAAGACTTGCCATTTATTTCACAGGATTATTTGATCCTTCCATGCTAAGTAACCCAAGCTTTCCTTGGCGCTCTCTCTCTCTCTCTCTCTCTCTCTCTTTTTTAATGACATAAGCTTGGAGAGGAGATCTGGCTTTCCCCTCACGTGCAACTAACTGCAACTCCAAGAAATTAGATTGCCTCCTCGCAGCCAGTTTCCTCACCTCGGCAAGCGCGTGTGGCTCACTACGACCCAAGCCAATAAAGCAAACCACGAGATGGTCAGCAAGGGACAAATCCGAGGACACTGCATCCCGTGGGGCCTGCTACTCCGAGCCGTAGGAGTTATCTCCCGTCAGCCGTGACCCCGTCACAGAAGGCCTGCGAACCACAGAGTGCCCTTGCCAAGAGCAGTGCTCGAGACACTGGCTGAGCAGCTGCAACCACGAACAAAGTCGCTAAGGAACAACAGAGAAGAGGGGCTGGCCACAGCCGGGCGCTAGGAGGACAGAGAGGAAGCCCACCACGCGAGCATTTCCACGGGACACAGCGGAGGAGGGCGTTTCCGAGCGTCCCCGCCGGTTCGCAGGTGCCCCGGCCCCGCGGCCTCCCAGTCTCCCGCGCTTTGTCCGCCGCCCCTGGACCCCACCTACCGCTGCAGGGTCCTAGGAGGCCGCAGCCTCCGCACCATCAGGGCCACGCCGAGGAGTGAGCACGGCCCACGCCGGTCGCAGCCGCCGCCTCGGAGATCGCCAACAATCCCACCAACTCCAAGAGCACAGGCGCCGAGGAGCTGGCGGGGGAAGGCTCTGCAGAGTTCCCCCGGTGACCCTGTCACCTCCGCCGGTTCTGCCCTCCCATTGGCTGGTGATGGGGCCACAGCGATGAAACGTATCCAGTCAGTGAAGACCTTCTGAGAGCCAGTCCTTCATTGGTGCACTGGAGAAATGCACTCAGTGTCTAATGGGCAGGCCCAATGAGGGCCCGGGATACTGAATTGGCCCTAGCGACGCCCTATCCAGCATGCCGGAACCGCAGACCGGGATTCAGGCAGGACGCCTTAGGCGTCTCCGGACTACAATTCCCAGCTCCCGGGGCTGGGAGGCTCTCGGGGCTGCTGAGTTCGGAAGCCCGGCCCGACTCTTTCAGGTCTAACAACAAAGCAGTTGCTTTTCTTTCCTTGAGTTTCAGTTCATAATCTTTAAACATCTTTTAGTTTCTTCTTTTTTCTTTTTTCGGCTTTACCTTAGCAGTGTATTAGATGTGCTTTTCATTTGCTTCATTTCTCGTTGGGGTCAGTTGTGTTAGAAGCAAAGCGAAGGCCACCAGACTCCTTTTTTAAAAGGAGTATTTTTATTTCGGAAATAATTTTTTTTCTTGGGATGTTCTTACGATCTTTAGACGATTTACTCAAATTCTTCGGAAAGTATTGTTAAATATTGTTAATGAGAGTAAGGATGATGTATTTGTTTTATAGATTGCAGCCACTGACTTTTGTTGTTGTTTGGATTGTTGTTTTGTTTTGTTTTGTTTTTTAAAATAGATTTCTTTTGTTTATAAAAAGCATTCCTTTGCATGTAAAGATGCCAGAGATCAACAGTGGAGAGTAATCAGTTCGCTGTATTTTGCATGTGTTCTTTCACAGTTTAGTTCTGCCCTACAGGTCATGAATTGTAAGTAGAAGGAATCAGGGCTGCAATAGGGAGCGAGTGTGGGTGAAGAGTAAACATCCAGGCTGTGTTCTCTGCCAACACCTCGGCAGAGAATTTAAAAAAAAAACTACTTCTGCTTTTATTGTGTTCCAATGTGTTTAGTCTGATTTTTTTTTTAAGATTTACCTATTTTTTTATTACAAAGTCAGATATACAGAGAGAAGGAGAGACAGGAAGCTCTTCCGTCCGATAATTCACTCCCCAAGTGAGTACAACGGCCAGTACCGCGCCAAGCTGAAGCCAAGAACCAGGAGCTTCCTCTGGGTCGCCCACACGGGTGCAGGATCCCAAGGCTTTAGGTAGTCCTCGACTGCCTTCCCAGGCCACAAACAAGGAGCTGGATGGGAAGCAGGCTGCTGGGATTAGGATTAGAACCGGCGCCTATATGGGATCCCAGTGCCTTCAAGGAGAGGGCTTTAGCCACTAGGCCATGGCTCCAGGCGCCTGATCTTTTGATAAACTCTACAAGACAGGAGTGAAGTGAAGTAGAAAACCATTATTTGTCTGTTTCCTACCATTTACACAATTGAAAGCCATAATTGACAGGATTTCTGTTTCCTGAAGCCACAGGAAGGTGTGGTTGTAGGTGAACATTCAGGTGAAATTAAAGCGATGGTGCGTAATGTCTAGTGTTGAAGGGCCAGTCTTACTTACAGGAACTTGCAACCAGCCAACTATTGAAACGGAAACAGGAGTAAGAGGAGGAAAAGAAATTGTAACTGTAGAAAGCTGTAGAAAAGTAAACAAAAAAAGTTCAAAAGACACAGCCAAGTTAAACATAACCCTTCTGGTTGGGTAAATCAACTTTTGTTCAGAATTCTTATTAAAACAACTCAATAAAACATAGGAAAGTAAACTTGATATTTTTAATTACATTTTGTATGGGGAAGAGAAACTACACTTTGCATTTTCCCTAGTGAATAGGGCAGAAGTTTTAGCAGCTGCCAGAATAACTCTTCCAGAAGTTTAGAATCCAAAATTAAACCTCATCACATTTAAGTATTGAGACTAATTCTGCCATTAAAATGTGGAGATTAAATGAGATTAATGTACTGGGTAGATGCCTAACATTATTCATAAAACAAATAATGATTTCCTGGTGGCTTTGTAGCCTGACAGGTAAAGCCGCTTACTGTGGTGCCAGCATCCTAAATGAGTGCCAATTCTAGTCCTGCCAGCTCTACTTCCAGTCCAGCTCCCCTAGCATAGGGACCCCTAGTGCTGGCACCCACGTAAGAGACCCAAAAGCAGCTCCTGGCTCCTGGCTTTGACCTGACCCAGCCTTGATCGTTTTACCATTTGGGGAGCAATTCTGTAAGGTTGCATTTCAAATAAATAAATGAATTTTTTAAAAATAAGTCTCCTAAGCTTTGGTGGATTACAAGCCTCAAAGGAAATCTTGAAGGTCTTAAGAATTAATTCCCACAGTAAGAATGTCTTTACCTGACACTAATGAAGAGTTGCTGCCTGTGAGTCATTGTTTGTCTCAGCTGTGAATATTTGGCTACAGAACTCACTGGAATATCAAGTTTCTCAATAGCTGTGATGCTTAAGACATGATTCAGTTACTGGCAACTTCATTTCATTGTTTAACAGACAGTTGTGTGTTTGTTTGGTAAGCATATACAGTGTGACATGGGTGGTCCTAACTATAGATTCAAACATAAGGCAAAGCATAATCCCTACCCTTCTAATTTAAGGAGCTCAAGAAACAAAGTGATTCCTGAGACATGTTAACAAAGCAACAATTACAGCGGTGGTGTTGTGGCACAGTGCATAAAGTCACAACCTACAACACTGGTATCCCACATGGGTGCCAATTTGTGTCCCAGATGCTCCACTTCCCATCCAACTCCCTGCTGGTGTGCCTGGAAAAACAATGGAAAATGGCCCAAGTGTTTGGGCGCTGGCCATCTGTGGCAGTTCAATACCAGCTGTTGTAGCCATTTTGAAAATGAACCAGTAGATGGAAGAGCTCTGTCTATCCTTGTGTCTCTCCTTTGAACTCTGTAACTCTTTCATATCAATTTTTAAACTTTAAAATAAAAACATGAAAATACAATTTTATATTGAAGAAAAATTTAAAATAGAAGCTCTATCTGAATGAAAATAACAATGTGTCCATAATTGCATCATTTACCAAAACAGTAAACTCCAGATGTATTAAAAAGCTCAATTTTTACAGACTATATATGTAACCTAGAAGTAAGGAATGTATTTAGTATTTTTAAAATTTATTTATTAATTTGAAAGGCAAAACAAGAGAGAGTTCTTCCATCCTCTGCCTTACTACCCAAATGTACACAACAGTATGGACTGGGCTGAAGCCAGGAACTCTGTTAAGGTCTTCAATGTGGACCACCTTCCCCTGCTTCTCCAGGCACATTAGCAGGATAGGGTATGCCAGCTTATCTAGATTTGTCACACCAAATTCCAAGGATCATTGTAGAGATTTATTATTATTGGGGCCCAGAGTATTGGCCTGGTGGCTAAAGTCCTTGCCTTGAACATACCGGGATTCCATATGAGCACCGGTTCTAATCCCGGCAGGTCCACTTCCCATCCAGCTCCCTGCTTGTGGTCTGGCGGAGCAGTCGAGGACGGCCCAAAACTTTGGAATCCTGCACCCGCATGGGAGACCTGGAGGCAGCTCCTGGCTCCTGGCTTCAGATAGGTGCAGCACAGGCCGTGGTGGTCACTTTAGGAGTGAATAATCGGATGGAAGATATTCCTCTCTGTCTCTCCTGCTCTCTGTATATCTGATTTTCCAATATAAATAAATAAATAAGTATTTATTTATTTATTATTAGTATTATTATTATCATCATTGGAAAGTCAGATTTACAGAGAGAAGGAAAGACAGAAAAAGATCTTCCATCAGTTGGTTCATTCCTCAGGTGGCAGCAACAGCTGGAGCTGAGCTAGTCCAAAGCTTAGAGCCAGGAACTTTGTGGGTTTCCCATGTTGGTGCAGGGTGCCAAGGCCTTGGGCCATCCTCTACTGATTTCCCAGGCCACGAGCAGGGTGCAGGATGGGAAGTGGAACAACTGGGACACGAACCGGCACCCATATTGGATCATGTAAGAGGAGATTTAGCCACTGGGCCACAGTACCAGGCATCCAGAAGCCACATTTTAAAAAAAAAGTCTGGGGCCTGATGGCGTGGCCTAGCAGCTAAAGTCCTCGCCTTGAACGTGCAGGGATTTCATATAAGCACCGATTCTAATCTTGGCAGCTCCACTTGCCATCCAGCTCCCTGCTTGTGGCCTGGGAAAGCAGTTGAGGACGGCCCAAAGTTTTGGGACTCTGCACCTGTGTGGGAGACCTGGAGAAGTTCCTGTATCCTGGCTTTAGATCATTGCACACACTTGGGGAGTGAATCATCCAACAGAAGATCTACCTCTCTGTCTCCTGTTCTCTGTATGTCTGACTTTCCAATAAAAATAACTAAATCTTTTTAAAAAGAGAAATCTGGAAAGCAGAAGTTAACGGTTAATAAGCAGATATCTTTGAGGGTTTTTTTTTCTTTTTTTTTCAATTCTGTGTCTAGCTGTGCCGGGCCCTGTACTTGCTAGCACATACAAGAATCTGGTCAGAAAACACCTCAGACAAAGTTTCTTTGGGGATCCCCAATCGAACTGCTGGACTCAGAACCCTAACCATGAAAAGACAGAGTATAGAACAAGTGAATCAACCACCTCAGCTATATGTTGGCAGTGAAAAACTGGACAAACGGAGACTCTAAGATGGACTATGTCAGTCAGTGGATTCTTCAACGACCTCATCGTGCTTGGAGTGGCAAGATCGGCAGCAATTCATAACTGTTGAACTCTCAAAACCACTGGAGCAACACCCTCGGAGCATGCCCCACATCAGGGACCTGGGGAGGGCTTCTCCCTTTATCTCCCCCTTTACCCCAGCTACAGAAAAAAAGAGAATATGGAAATAATAGTCTTACCCACTTTCCTGTAGCCCTTGAATCTTTTTACCCTAATTAACTATGTAAAGATTGTCAAAAATATAATTTAAAAAATGGAAAAAAGATTTCATGTCTAGGAATGATTTTTTTTTTAACAGAGCAGGAGGG